GGTATCAGCTACTCCTCCCAGTTTCGTGTCATCAGCAAACTTGCTGAGGGAGCACTCTGTGCCTTCATCCAGGTCATTGATGAATAAATTGAACAGGACTGGACCAAGGACTGACCCCTGGGGGACCCCACTAGCCACAGGCCTCCAACTAGACTCTGCACCGCTGATCACCACTCTCTGGGCCCTGCCATCCAGCCAGTTCCTAATCCATCTCACTGTCCACTCATCTATCCCACACTTCCGGAGCTTGCCCAGGAGGATGTTGTGAGGGACGGTGTCAAAAGCCTTGGTGAAGTCGAGATAGACGACATCCACCGCTCTCCCCTCGTCTATCCAGCCGGTCATTTCATCATAGAAGGCTATCAGGTTAGTCAGGCAAGATTTTCCCTTGGTGAATCCATGCTGACTACTCTTGAGCACCTTCTTGTCCTCCATGTGCCTGGAGACAACAGCCAGTATGAGCCGTTCCATCACTTTTCCGGGGACGGAGGTGAGGCTGACTGGCCTGTAGTTGCCTGGGTCCTCCTTCTTGCCTTTTTTGAAGACTGGCGTGACATTGGCCTTCTTCCAGTCTTCCGGCACCTCCCCCGTTCTCCAGGATCTTTCAAAGATGATGGAGAGCGGCTTAGCTATGGCATCTGCCAGCTCCCGGCAGCACTCTGGGGTGCATCCCATCAGGGCCCATGGATTTGTGGGTATCGAGGTTCCTTAGGTGCTCTCTGACCCAATCTTCCTCTACCCAGGGCAAGTCTTCCTCTCCACCCGCTTCTTCTCTTGTCTCTAGGGCCTGGGGGTCTAAAGGGCTGCCCTTGGTAAACACCGAAGCAAAGAAGGCATTGAGCAACTCTGCTTTTTCTGTGTTATTTGTAACCAAGGTGCCCATCCCGTCCTCCAGCGGACCCACGTTTTCCCTGATCTTCCTTTTGCTGTTAATGTATTTGAAGAATTTTTTTTTGTTATTTTTAACGTCCCTTGCCAGCTTGCCTTCCAGACGTGCCTTAGCTTTCCTTGTCGCATCTCTGCACTCCCTGACTGCGTTCCTGTATTTCTCCCAGGGGGCCTGTCCTTTTTTCCACATTCTGTATACTGCTGCCTTCTGCTTGAGCATTGCCACAAGCTCCCGGCTCATCCACGCAGGTTGCCTGCCCCCTCTGCCTGACTTCTTACACACAGGGATGCACTGTTGCTGGACGTGGAGGAAGTGCCGCTTGAAATCTAACCAGCTCTCTTGGGCCCCCCTTCCTTCTAGAGCACTAGCCCATGGGATTCTACCGAGGAGGTCTCTGAAGAGGCTAAAGTTGGCCCTCCTGAAGTCCATCGTCGCAAGGCTACTTACAGCCCTGCCTCCTCCTTGTTGAATCCTGAACTCCACCAACTCATGGTCACTGCAGCCGAGGCTACCCCCCACCTTCACATCTCCTACTAGGCCCTCCCTATTTGATAGCACGAGGTCCAGTAGCCCACCTATCCTCGTCGTCTCCTCCACAACCTGCGTCAAAAAGTTATCGTCGACGCTCTGCAGGAACCTCCAGGACTGCTTATGCCTGGCTGTGTTGTCCTCCCAGTGGATGTCGGGGTAGTTGAAGTCCCCCATGAGAACCAGGGCCTGTGACCGTGAGGCAACATCCAGCTGCCTATAGAAGGCCTCATCAACCTCCTCGTCTTGGTCAGGTGGCCTGTAGCAGACACCCACCACAGTGTCTCCCACATTAGCCTG